ACTTGCAAATTTGAAGGGACCTTGAGTAAGACCCTGTCTCAAAAACTTTAAGAAAAGGGCTGGCTGGGAGCCAGTCATGGTGGTGCATACCTATAGTCTTAGCAACTCAGGAGGCTGAGACAGGCAGATGACTGGAAGTTGGAGGGCACACAGTAAGTTCACAGGCAGTCTGAACTACATTAATACCTGTCCCAAGAAACAAAAACAGGGAAAAAAGAAAAAGGCACTGAGGAACTGACTCAGGGTGAATGAGGCCCCAAATTCAGGCCCTTGTGCTAGCACGGAATAAAAAACAAAACCAAAAAATGCTAGGTTGGTTATATAGCTCAGTGGTAGAGTGTTTTCCTAGCATACATAAGATCTCCAGGGCTCTGAAGAAAGTAAAACCATGTGAACATTTTTCTCACTGGTAGAATTCCTTGGAATGTTATTATAGAAGATATACTATCTCTGGAGATAGGATTAAAATAATACTTATTTTTAATACAGGCAATACAGAGCTTTCAGAAGATATGTGTAAAGAATATGAAATGATGTATTCTCCATCTTGTGAAACCACAAGAAATACTACTGGCATTGGAGAACCAACTGAGGGGATGATTTTAGGACCAGAAGATATGAGTTACCAAATATATGACATTTCTGGTAAACTTTTGTTTTTATTGCTACAATGAAAATTTAACACACACACACACTCACAAGTCAAAAACTATTAGGAAAGGAAAAAAAGAAAGACTATTAAGAGATTAAAGAGCATGACTGACATCAAATCTAACAGTAGAAGAGATGTGTGGTAGTTACATAAATATATTAATTAGGCTAATTTCTGTTTTCAGATGTAGAATATGCTCACCTTTTGTTCTTATAGTTGCTATTTAGTTGCTGTTTATGGAATTTTACAGTAGTTACAATGTCTGTTAAATGTGACAGGAGGTATTTTGCAACATAATAGCCAAATACTTTCAATATTACATCTAAGTCCTTTGCTAATTTCTTGATAAAGTAACTTTAATATGTACCTATCCAGAAAAAAGGATAAGTTGAGAGAAGTTAGATGTTGGACCCTGTGAGTTATAAAAAAATTTAAATACTACAGTATCATAGTAAATATTAATTTGTGGAAGACTTTATGACTGAGTACAGCATGTAAATTTTACCTATGATAACTTAGTATTAACTTTTCTTTGTTTTCTACCATCAGAAGAAAATAGTTCTGCAATTTCTACAGAAGATCTAAAAGAATGTCTAAAGAAACAATTAGAGTTCTGTTTTTCAAGGTACAGAATCTTTTTAATTGATACATCTACTTTTTTAGATAATTTGGTTAGTATCTGTAAAATGCCTATGAAGTATAACAGAATGGTAGATATTCTTTCCCTTTTTAAAATTAACCGGTTTTTAAATCACTTCCTTTAAGGGACCGGGGAGATGGCTCAGTAGAATAAGTGCTTCCCTGGTAAGCGCAAGGGCCTGAGCTCAATTCCTGGTTCCACAAAAAAAAAAAAAAAAAAAAAAAAAAAACTTCATTTAAGTGGTAAATTTTGGTATGATTTTTTTCCAGTATATTTCTTCTATATCTCCAAAAACATAATTTTGTAATTTATCTAAGCTTTTTAGTTTTTCCAGTGGAGCTCTGTGTATGATCAGCCACATTGTATTTACAAATGTGAATCTGTTCAAACCAGCCAGGCAGTTCTCATTTGTAGCTCACCAAAATTGTGTTTAGTTTATAACAGGTATCACTCATAAATAGGTAAGTCTTAGATGTTATATCCATTAATTTGATTTACTTTAGGCAAGATATAGTTTATTCAAGAGTTTTGACACTAATTGATAAAGAGTCTGTGGAAAATAAGGAATGATTTAGATTAAAACTTTTAGGCAAGGCATGGCATTTACAAATGTCTGATTTTGATACTAATATGTTCTTGTATGTTGAAATATGAGTTTAAAGTTCACTGGTATCTTCTGTACTCCACTCCCAATAAATAATCACTACCTGTTGACTTTGTAACCTGCGAGGGAGTGCTATATTTTAATAGAGTTTAAATGTACAAGCCTTTGCACTTAATTAAGTCTTTGCCATTTTTGAAACATGTACATGCCTTTTTAAACATTGAACAAAAGTAGAATACATACTCTGCTGGGAAATACAGAACAAGAAAATAATAATCAGCTTAGCATGTTTGTTGAAAACTGCTGTGGAAAAAAAATTAAATAAAATAGCATATACAGGGAAGAGGGGAACCCAGAGTGCTTGTGTGGTTGGATTTTTTACAAAGATGGTTAAGTCAGGCCTCTTTGAGAAGAAAGCTTTTAAGAACGAATTTCTAGTTCTTTTTAGATAATCTGGCTCAACAAATATTTGATAGGAAAAAGGCAAGAATTTGATTTACTTCAGTTTGTTAAGAAAGATTTTAGATGTAAGATACAAATGCTTGCTGTGCGTGGTGGCACATGCCTATAACCCCAACACTAAGAAGGCTAAAGCAGGAGGATTGCTGCAAGTTCAGAGGCAGCCTGTGGGGGGGAGGGGGGAGGGGGCGGGGGGCGGTGCTTATATTCCTTACAAGAATTTTTAAAAATCTTTTAAAATTTTATTTATTTGTATAGGATCTTGTTACACAGGTTGGACTCATAAGTGTCCTAGCTCAGCCTCCCCAGTGCTGGGATTACATGCTTGCACTACCGCACCCGCTTTCAGTGGTGGTCCTGCATAGCATGAGGTACCAGGGATTGAACCCAGATCCTTGTGCTTGGCCAGGCAGATGCTTAGATCACTGAGCTATCTCGCTAGCCCTTCTTAAAAGAGTTTTGTCTTAATTTTAAATGCATATTTTAAGTTGTAAAGGTTTGCTTCTTTAAAAAAGTAAACATTCATGAGTTAAAATCTTAGCTCCCAGCATAGTGGTACACACTTAAAATTCCAAGCACTCTGAGAGCCTGAGACAGGAGGATAACAAGTTTAAGACCAGTCCAGGCAACTTAGTGACTTTGAAAGATCCTGTTTCGAACTAAAACATAAAAAAGGCCTAGATAGGTTCAGTCTTTGATCTTTGACAAAGGGACCAAAACATACACTGGAGTAAAGATTGTCAGCCACTTTAACAAATAAATGGTGCTGGAAAAACTGACTGTCCACATGCAGAAGATGGAATCTTGATCCACATTGTTCATCATATGCTGTACTAAGATCACATGGTTCAAAGACTGAAACATTAAAAGAAAAACTTAACCTGCTGGAAGATCAGATAGGTAACACTCTTGAAGTTCATAGGGGAGAATTTTCTGACTGTAACACCAGTTGCATGAAGAAATAATCAAGCATCAATCTAAGAGATTATATCAAATTAAAAATCTGCACAGCAAAGAAAACAATGAACAGAGTGAAGAGGTAGTATATACAATTGGAAAAAGTTTTGATAGCTACTCCTTGGATAGGATTAATATCTAGAATATACAAAGAACTCAAGAAAATTAGACCCTTCACAATAAAAGATTCAGTCAAAAAATGAGCAAATAGGGCTGGGGAGATAGCTCAAGAGAATAAGAGCTTGCCTGGCAAGCTCAAGGTCCCGAGTTCAATCCCCATTACCACAAAAAAAAAACTCCAGCAAATAAAAGGAATAGATACTTTTCAGAAAGAAATACATAAAAAATGTTCAGGGCTGGAGAGATGGCTCAGTGGTCTAAAGCACCTACTTAGAACAAGCTTAGCAAAGCATCAGGGACCGCGGTTCAATCCCCCAGCACC